AAAATTCGAAACTTTGACTTAATGGAAAAAATGGGGTCCCATAGAAAAACTATAGTAAAAAGCCGATATCTCAGCCAAATCTCAACTTGGGCACATATCCTCTTAGGTGTTTTCTAGTCTATGCATTCCCTACTTGTGGACAAAATTTCAGCTCAAAAGCTTGTTAGCACCTCGGGTAGTTCCCTCGTTAGTGTAAAATAAACCACCAATTTTCTCAATCCTGACTGCTTATAATCTTCCTCTAACCTTTGTTCAATCGGGCAAAACTTTTTACAACAGATGCTTTGAAACATCCTCCATTAGTAAATTTGGCTATTTTCGTTGTTGACTTTCCTATCCGGATTTATACGGCTCTGAAAGTCAACACCTCGGGTTTGGCTTCGAATCATTGCGCATTTCCCTCATTAAAAAAAAAAACAGATTTTCCAAAACGCTAAAAAATATCTTTGAGGCACCTTCAATCCTTACAAAATATATAGGAAGTCCTTGATTTTCAGAGTATTCGAGACTTTCTTTGGAATTTATTAGGGAGTGCATAACTTGTAAATTTTAGAAAGTATTTATTTAAAAAAATGAATATTGCTCATTTTTTGTTTAGAATTATCTAAAAAATAACTTCAAGGATGGGTATCAACTTAAGAAAATTAATGTTTTCTTTTATTTAGATACGTATATTTGATGAACATCGACAATGATAACTAGTAGTTTCAAGCAACAAATTATATTCTTTTCATTTAAGTTAAGTTAAGCTCTATAAGAACTCAAAGAGTAAGAGTTATTTTATTTAAATTAATCTTAAGGCAATTGCAACAGTAAGTATTAATTTATGTAATCAAACTGTATCCTTTTTATTTGGATACAATCCAAGAACAAGTACAACAGTAAATATTAGTTTCAAAGTATAAATTACATTTTTTTATCTACGAAGATAAGACAAGAAGAAAGTCACTTAACCTTTACCCTGTTCCTTCGTAAGGAGAGTTTCACGTCGATACGATGATAAATAGCAAAACTCGTACCCTGTCATCATGAATGCCTGTGAAATCTTTAGAAAGTCTCCAGTGAGTTCTTATGAACTCCTTGAAATATTTCTTCAACAAACCTTGAATGTTTAATAACAGCTGCTTTAGGTAATCCAGTTGTTCCCGATGTGAAAATATAGAAAACTGGATCTATTAAAATAATAATAAATATTTAAATGAAATCGAACTACTAATTTATATTTAGTTAATATACGTTTTAAATCATACGGAATGGGTTTAGGTGGTTCAGTTGAGCATACTTCCAATTGTTCATATAAATGAACAATTTCAAGAGAAGATGATATTGATTCAGAACTATATTTAATTTGTTCTGTTGTTGTTTGTTTTGGATCAAATAAATAAACTTTTTTTACATTTAATTCTTTTAATTCAGATTCAATTTCTATTTTAAAATTTAATAAATTTAAATAAAACAAAAAAGAACATATATTCACCTGAAAAAATGTCTGTCGATGTAATAACACAATTAGCTTTAACTGTTTGAATTGAATGTAAAAGTGGTTTAGCACGTAAATTTGTGTTAACTAAAGCAGTTATACAACCAATTTTACTTAAACCAACCCATACACATGGATATTCAAGTGAATTTTCAAGTACAAGTGCAATAACATCACCATGTGAAAAACCTTCAGCTGAAAAAAAATTCGCCAATTGATTTGTTAAATCTTCAACCTTAAAGTATCACAAAAAAAAATTTTTTTTTCATAATTTTGTTTTTCTTTTTTTAATATTTTCTACAAACTTGTTGGAATGAAAGAGCTTTATCTTCAAGAATAAAACATGGTTTTGTTCGATAACGGTTTACATTTTGTCGAAATACATAAATAAAATCTCGTTTACGAAATGTATTATATTTAATTATTAAACTATGTTTAATAAGTTTATATAAACCACGAATATCACGTGGTAAAGTTTTTAAGACAATTAATAAAAAATCGAATAATGATAGAATGTAAGTCCAAATTCGATCAAGCATCTAAAATAACGAAAAGCAGATTAATGTACAACAAAACTAAACCATTTTAAAAAGAATATTGTCTTAGATATACATCGAACTGTCTAATGTTTCAATCAAATGTGTTTGTTTTTCTTTGTATCTTCACATTTTAAAATAAAAACAAAAAAAAACAAAAGTTTCGCTAGAATTCTGACTTTTTTTCATAAAAGAAAAAAGCATGATTAGTTTGCACGTACATAGTCGTACATAATTCTAAGCGAATAAGTAGTCGAGGGTAAAGTGGAGTAGACGAAAAACTGTTTTTTAAAAAGTACTGGATGTAGAAGCAATAAAAATTGAAGAACATAAAAAAACAAGATTATAAACTTCTGATGTCTTCTCTACATCTTATACTAATAAGCATGTTGATTCATTGCAAATAGACGTCATACAGTGAGTCTATTTATGACTTTCAATTGATAACTCAACAAACGTAGGTGTCATACTATGATCATATCTAAGGTTGTAGATGATTTACTCAGAAAAGAAAGAAAAATTCTTTATTCTTCGAAAAAAAAAACAAGAAAAAGAAAGAGCAAAAAAAGAACGTACGAAATGTATGTTGGTGATATATTCAGGGTCAAAATACACTCACACATTCAGAACCTTTTTTTTTTCAAGTCGTAAAATACAGGCACAATGTGTGTTAATGTGTTTACAAAGGAAGAAAGAGAAAGAGATACAGAATGATAGTAATAATAATAAGCAAAAGAGATAAGTTACGGACAAAACATAAAACACTGTAGTTAAGATTTTTCTTCATCTAACAAACATAATCGCCAAAATCTCCTCGAAAATCAATATCAATACGACATATTGGACATCGTTTACTTTGTGTTAACCATCTATCGACACATTCAATATGAAATAGATGCATACATGGCAAACGACGTACATCATCATTATGATCAAATTCACATAAACATATAGTACATTTTTCATCAATAGATATCGTTCGTTTTTCATATTTATATGATAATGTTCGAGCATTAATATGTTCTTGATTTGCACCTATATTACCACCATTATTTAAACCATTTAATTGTTCTTCCATGCGTAATAATTCTTCCACAACATGTTCAGCACGTTCACCATTTAAAAATGGATGATGATGGTGATGATGATGATGATGATGACTACGTAAAAGAAGTGGATTACGAAATGGACGAAATAATAATGGTGTTGATGGCCATTGATTATTTTGTGTTGTTGTGTTTATTGCAACATGCATACTTGGATTATTTGTGCCCAATGTTAAATTATATGTACTTGTTGATGATGTTGCTGGTTGTATTGTTAAATGAGCATGAATATTGTTATTATTATTTGTTGTTGTTGTTGTTGGATGTGTAAGTATAGCATGTAATTGTTGATTAGCAGTAAGTATTGCTGTTGTTGGTGGTGATGATGATGAAACTGATGATGATGATGATTGATGTTGAAATGAACTTAAACGTTGACGGCGTAATTCAGATGTAAGTTGTTGACGATATTGATGACGTAAATGAGCTGGATTATGATTATGATGATGATGATGAAAATGAAGATGTTGTACAGGTGAGACTTGAGGAAGAGAAGCAAGAGCAACTTTACAAAAGAAAAAAAATAATAATAATAAAATTTTTGTTTTTTTTCTTTTGTAAAAATATTCAAAACAAAAATATATTAATGTTTTATCCAGTATTGGGAATGAAAGTAGAGTCAACCGAGTTGGTCCAAGTCCGCAAAGTTTGGACTCAATGGGCTCTAGTCGTCTGAAAAATGTGCAAGATGTACCAGTCATCGAATATTAAAAGAACGGGAAAAAATCTTATCTCTTCGAGGCAATGATTCAATTTGGAGTAGAAAATTTCATTGATAATACGTTAAGACTAAATCTGAGAATATAGAACTTGATGAACTCTAGCCGAGAATGCTTCGTTTTTCAGAAGGTGATCTTGATCTTCTCGAAGTTTGTGCCCTTTGTACTACGTACTATAAATCTGTACTTGCTCTTTCGGAAAATAAAATCTAGATTAAACACTGGAATAAACAACTTACCAGCACTAGCAGCAGCAGCAGCTAGAGCAACAGTTTGTTGAGTTGTTGCTGCTAAATTTGGTATAGCATTAGGTGTTTGATTAGGAGGATAGACAAGAAATGGAGATATGGATGTATTTGATGATTGATTAGAACCATTTGATGGTGTTATTACTGTTGATGTATTTGGTGTTCGATGAGAACATGAACATGATGAATTTGTTGGAATTGGTGTTGGTAATGGATATCTACGAGATGATAAAAGTTGTCGAGGATATGTTGGAGGTACTGTTGGTGTTGTTATTGTTTGTTGTTGATGATATTGTTGTTGATTAGAATAATGTGTTGGATAATATGATAATGGTCTTGATTGTTGTTGCTGTTGTTGTTGAATAGATCGAAAATCATTGATATTAGTTGTTATATTTAATGGTAATAATGAATCTTGTTTAAATTGATCTGTAATAATATTATTCGTATTAGATAATAATGATGATGAAGTTGGTCGACTAAATAAATTATTTGATGTATTATTATTATTATTATTATTATTATCATCATCATCATCGTCGTCATCGTCATCATCATCATCATCATCTTCATCATCATCATCACTATCATCACTAGTTTCTACACTGGATGTTACTGTCGTTGTTGTTGTTGGTCGTCGTTGTAGATCTATTCCATTTGTTTCGTCATAAAGAGAAGCTGTAACAGCAGCAGCAATACATGCTGCAGCTGTTGTATGTGACGATGTTAAATTATTTGCTGTTGCTGCTGCTGATGAAAATATTCGTTGAGCAGAATTATGAAATGTATCATTATCATCATCATCAGATGAACATTCTTGAACTTGCAATTGACGAGAAGATACTTTAAAATTATTGACTAAAATTATTTAAGAGAATGTTTGGTTTTTCTTTGTTATTGTTTTTCTAAATTGATTTACCTGTTGAAGATGGTATTGGACGAAAACGTTTTGGTAAATTACGATTATCATTAATTGTTGAATTAGCTGATGAAAAATCATATTCACTTGATATAGAACGTTTTTTTCGATTATTTGTAGATGTTGATGATGATATTGAATTTGTTGTTGATGAATTATTACAGAAATTTTCATAGTAATTACGTATAAGAGTATTGCTATTTGATACTATAGAAGCAGCAGTTGTAATTGTTGTTGATCGTTGTTCATTTGTAGGCAAAGATGAAGATATAGTTGGTGTAAATTTATCAAGAAGAGTTTTATAACGTGGTAATGTTGTTGTTACCGTAGATGATGATGAAGCTGAAGAAGAAGGTGAATCTAAAAATGATTTATTTAAAAAATCAAAATCAAAATCAAAATGAAAAAAACAAACTTTTACCACTGTATGTGTGCGTAGTAACAGTATAGGGTGTTGGTGGTCGACCATTTCTTGGTAAATCATTATTATTATGCGTAGTTCCATTAGTAAGAAAATCATTTAATGTTGTAGGATTAACATTTTGTTGATGATGTATAAGAAGAGCAGCGGCTGCAGCAGCTGGTTCGACAGCAAGCAATTCAGCAAATGCAGCATTCATTGCCGATGCTACTTCTTCAGGACTAACAATCGACGATTGATGTTGTTGTACGGCACTCATACGTTGATATAAATATATATGTAGATATATATGTATGTGCACGTATTTGCCTTTTTTGGTTGCTTGTTTGTTTGTTTATTTGTTTTTTTTAAGAAAAAAACGAGAGAAAAAAACTAATCTTAAATCTTTTAAATTAATAGTAAAATAATATTTTATTCTTTACAGATTTTTTTCTTGTCTTGTTTACTACATATAGAAATAGATGACGAACGATTCACTCAATCCTTAGCCTTGTTGCTCGATTTTCTCGTCCAGTACAAAATAAAACGACAACGTTCGCTGGCTTGGTTGCTTGCCCCCGTTACTATTACTGCTTCTCCTTTCTTTTTTCTTCTTTTTTTTCTCTTATGTTCTTTCGCTCGACGCCTATTGCTTGAAGAGAGAAAGACAGAATGTAGAGAGCACAAACGCGCGCGAGCGCGTGCATGCTCGCCCTCGCGTTCGCGATAACAAATGTTTTTCTTCGATGTTCTATGCGTCTGCATGTGTATGTTGTTCATCTCTAAAATCTATTTCTCGCCCGTTGTTGTGTATCCACGTTCTTTCTTTCCATCTCTATGTCTTTCTCGTATGCACATACGCTCGAGAACAATTTTGACAAAAAACGTAGAGAAAGAACAAGAATAAGAAAGAGAAAAGAAGCCATATGGTGCCGAGACCCACTTTTTTTCTACTGAATAGGTACGAACGCTCCATTCACCTCAAGAGAGAGAGCGCGACAGATAAAAAGATGAACAAATTATTATTATTTGACTATTTTGTTTGATCTATATGAAGAATATACTTGTTCAAGTATGGAATAGTAAAAAAAGAGAGAAAGAAAGAAAGAAAGAAGAAAACGTCAAGTTCTATATAGAAGGAATCTATGTTGATCAACAAATGCAATGATGACGACAATGCAAGTGTAGAAAAACGATCAATGTACCAATATATAAATATATAGCTATATACATATATAGTACAAAGAATGTAAAGAAGAGACAAGGCAAGAAAAACGATGGGGGGGGGGGGGGGGGGGAGAAAGAGGGGGCGGGGGGGAGAAAGC